ATACAAAGGGTCCAGTATAAGGACCTTAGAAGAGTTTAGTAGAGAATTAGAATTGCTTAAAGAAGCAGAGATTTCAAAGCTCAGTTCTGAAACTCGAAATAGGTCTAAAAGAGTTAGGGTTTCTTTTGAAATAAAACCAATTCGAGCAAATCACATAGCCAATGGTTTCAAAACTCGGAAGAACCCCCAAATTCTAGGGTTTCTACCATCAATCGAGAACAGAGATGAGAGGACAAGCAATCAAGAAAAAGGGTACTAATCGAAACTGGCTCAAAGGTTTCAGAAAGGAACTGAGACCTTTAACACGTTCTTTCAGTAGCAGAAACTCATGAGAAGCGTAGTACAAGAACAACATGCGAGACACAGAAAAAGAACTCAAAGAAACATAGTGGAAGAGGCTGATAAGAAACATAGTAGAAGAAAACCAATCAGGACACAGCAGGAGAAACACACAAAGAACATGGTAGGAGGAAACTTATTAAGAACACAGTAAAAGAAGCACACAAAGAACACGGTAACAGAAACTTAACAAGAACACAGTAGAGAAACATATAAAGAACACAGTAGAGAAACATATAAAGAACTCAAAAGAAACATATAAAGAACACAATAGAGGAACATATAAAGAACACAGTAGAAAAATATCTAAATAACTCAAAAAGAAAAAACCTAAATCGCAAAAATATAAAGGTTTTAAAAGCATAACTTTTGAAAGAAATACCAAGAGATCGTTTAAAAGTTTAGGGAAAACACGGATCTAGAAAAGATCTAAAGAAAAATAGAAGAACCTTAAAAGCTAGGGTTTCAGGGGAACCCAAACGGTGAGAAAGGCTAGGATAGTTGTTGATCTAAGTAGGAGGGGTCGAAACCAGGCTCGAAACAGGCATGGCTTGCCGGAGCAAGGCCGGAGATGGCCATAAAAACTTGAACCAATAAGGTCTGGATGAAGCTCTTCGTATTCAGACCATGAAACCTCAGCAAACAGGTGTGTAGGAACCCTAGAGGGCCGGTAGGTGGTGAGACCACCATAAATTCAGGCCAGGAGGTGGCCGGAGAAGGTGAGTGGGACTCATCGGAGTTGAAGGGGAGGGGGAAGGTTCTAGAGAGAATCAGAGATAGAGAGATAGAGGAGAGGGTCGGTTGAGTGAAGAATGAGAGGGGTTTGGGGGGGTCGTTTGGTTTAATTTGGAAAGAAAGAATCCGGACCGTTGATCAAAATTGATCAACGACCAAGATTCAATCAGATTGGGCTGGGTAGATCAGGAATTGGGCTTGGGTCTATTGGACTGGTTTTATTGGGTTGGGGTATTGGGTTTAAATTAGGCTAAATTAGGAGACAAAATCTGGCTATAAGTTAAATAGCCCCCTTTTTCCCATTTAATTTATAAAAAATAGTAAATAAATTTCTGAAAACTAATTAAAAGTACTAAAATGATTTATAGTGTATAGTTATCAATTTAAAAGTATAAAATCCCATTTTATAAACATGAGACGAATTTAAACCTAAAAAATGGCTAATATTGCAATTATGCAATTTTGTCCTTAAAATACTAAAATAAATTTGTAAAAATACGTAAAAAATATCTTAGCTATACTTTAGTATAAACATGATAATCCAATAAACGAATCACCAAAAATGATAATTTTGGGGATAAATATTGGTTTTTTCTTGACAAAATAGGGCAGTAAATTGATTTAAAAATCTTGGAAAAATTAAGGAAAAATAATGAAACCTTGGGATATGCTTATATATGCATATATAGATTATTTTGAAGGTATTTTTCATATCTAAAATATAGGAAAAAATTGAGTATCAATAAATATGTCCACAAATATCCCCTTGTATACGTTCCAAAAACGCAGGGGACTCAATCCCAACCTTTGTTGGTGATGATTTAATAATTAACTTGCCTTGATAACAAGAAGTGCAAGAAAAATTATTATTTAAAAAAATCTTTAAATTCTTTAATGGATGCCCATTTAAGTTTTCTGTAATTCGTCTCATCATAATTGATCCAGGATGTCCCAATCGGTCATGCCAAAGTACAAAAGTATTGGAATCAGTAACCTTTTGGTTTACGGTAGAATGTGCCTCAATTGCACTAATTCTTGTCCAATATAGGCCACAAGATAAAGATGGGAATTTCTCAATAACCCTCTTTTGGCCAGAGACTTTCTTGGTAATGATGAGATATTCAAGATTATTCTCATTTATTGTTTCAATATGATATCTATTTCGGCGGATATCTTTAAAACTCAACAAGTTCCTCTTGGACTTGGAGGAGAACATTGCATTCTCTATGATAAGTATTGTTCCCTTAGGCAGAGTTATAGTAGCTCTTCTAGAGCCTTCAATTAAATTACTACTAGCAGAAATTGTAGTAACATCTGCCTTACACATACTTAAATGAGAGAAATATTTCTTCTATTTGAATATTGTATGTGTCGTACATGAATCAATTAAACAAATACTTTTACAATTAAACTTTGATATAAGTTTGTTTTGTGAGATATCCATATTTGCTTAATCTTCCCAAAAGCTTCTTGAGACGGTAGAGTCTCGTGCTGATAACGTGTTATAAAACAATAAATGAAGAAGAAGAGTATAGCAGAGAAAAGTAGAGAGGGAGAATTCTTATTGATATTGGATGAATTACAATGGAATAGAACCCTCTATTTATAGGGAGAGGGTGACTTAACCACCAAGTAATGAACCCTAGAATTTCTCTAAATCTAGACATTCACCATAAATAAAATTCTATTTATAACATTTAAAAAAAAAATATGTTGTTGCATTTTACAATTGTCACACAAGAGTAGTGAATATAGTTACACTTCTACATGTTACACTCTCATAGAATTTTTGTTCCTTTTTTTTAAATTCATAAGCCACTCCTCTTAAAAACAACAACAATAATAATGATATAATATACAGTAGTAATAAAAAGGATTCCTACTGTCTGGTTGTCTGCAAAAACAAACTTCCATCAAAACTCTTTATTCCTTTAAATATTTATTTAATTTATAATACTTATTTTTTTGTGTGTGTATAAAATTTGTCTTGATTATGTAAAATTTTGCGCTTTGTTGTGATGACATGGAAAAAAGAGCAAAAACAAGAAATGCTAAGATAAATTAATGTTAAAGAGGTCGTTTTGGACCTTGGTGGTTATAATGAGTACGAGAAGATTAACTTGTAAAATAAGAGATTATGAATCAGACAAATTCTATTTTGTTGCATTTAATAGTAGAATTAGTCGTTTCATTCACTATTTCATTTGGTTTGGATGTTTTCTTGTTAAGCAGATACTAATATTAATTAATTAATATTCGCCAAAATATTGGTTTGTGCAGCATTAGGATGTTTGCCCCTAGTACTTCATTGGTAAACACCGGAAAAACTACAAAAAGATATTTTTCTTAGCTAGTACATCAGCGACCCTATTTGCTTCTCGGTAGTTGTGGCTTATTAGTGGATGCCCCAACGCTGCTAGTAATGAGCTGCATTCATAAATTAGTGGTTCATAAAATAAATTTCTTTTGTTGATCAAGTTAATTACCTCAGCTGAATCTGTATTTACTTCCAAAGGAGTGAAATTGTTGGACACAGCCATTTGGTTTGGATGTTAATTTAATCGCAGACTTATATTAACCGTAAATTAACTTTCAAACTTTTCCGTGGGAAGAATTTGATCATTAATTAGTTTGTCTTTTGGAGAACCGGGCGGTTCAACTAATATTAGCGGTTCAGTTTTCTGCTTTCTATTTCTCTCTTTGAACTCATTTAGCTGATAAATGGGGTATATTAATTTTTCAATGCATTCAGTTTATCAAACAAACACACATTCACTTTGTTAAGCTATACTGAGAAGGCCATATACAATAACACCACCCAACTTGAAACCCATAAACTCAATATGTCAAGTTACATATGAAATAGCCTTGTAGAAGAAGCTCAAAAGGTGTTTGATGAAATGCCTGAGAGAAACACAGTCACATGGAATGGTATTTCCAAAATGGGAATGTTGAAAAAGCTGCGTGTTTGTACAATGAAATGCCTCCCCGTGATTTGTTTTTGTATAACACTATGATTTCAGGGTTGATGCAGGCACGGAATGTTGAAGGTGCTAAAGTGAATTTTGAATCTATGGAGCATCGAGATGTCGTGACATGGAATTCCATGATCCCAGCGGGTAATGCCCCTAACAGGTTTTTGGATGAAGCACTTGAGGTATTAGCGGCTATGCGTATAAAAGATGTTTCTTGGAATCTTATCATTGTTGGTTTGGTAGAGTTCACAAAACTTAGAGATGGCTGAAGAGCTATTCAGACATATGAGTGACCTGGATTTCGCGTCTTGGATTATTATGATGAGGAGGTTGATTATTGAAGGAAAAATGTTGAGGCAAGGGATTGTTTCGACAGCATAGAAATAAGGGAGGTCCAAGCTTGGAATGCTATCATGGTTGGATATTTAGAGAAAGGATTCAGTTTGTTTCACAAAAGGCCTATGAGGGATTGTGACTCTTGGAATGAAATGATAAATTGATTGGTGGATAATGGGGAAATACTTGAAGGTATGAGGATGCCGCAGAAACAGGAAGATTGTGGAATTCTGTCTTGTTGGATTTATAACAAATTGATTAGTGAAAAAAGCTCATGCATGTCTAGAGAATAACCCATTTAGATTTTGTATCACAGACTAATCTAGTCATAAGGTATTTCATGAGGGTGATATCGAGAGTGCCATAAAACTTTTTGATCAGTTGCCATATTGTGATGCGACTGCAAGGAATGCTACAATATTTGGACCAGGAAAAAATGAGCATGGTGAAGATGCAATAAAATTGTTTATTGGAATGAAAGAGGAAGGAGCATTATTGGATGAAGCTACTTTTACAAGTATAGTTACTGTATGCTCAAACTTACCATCTCTAAATTTGGGGAAACAAACTCATAATAAAGTTAGTAAAAGAGGAATTAGTTGTTTCACATCTGTTTCTAATGCGTAGTCAACATGTAATTTAGGAGTGGGAACTTGGACTCCTGTGCTGGAATTTTCTAATGTTCTGAATCGTGATGTCATTTCTTGGAATTCTGTAATATGTGGATTAGCCTTCCATGGGCATAGTAAAAGAGCTTTTGAGAAATTAGTTGTTTGAAATCAGTTTCTAATGCGACAGTCAACATGTAATTTAGGAGTGGGAACATGCACTAGAGCGCTGGAATTTCCTAACATCTCGAATCGTGATGTCATTTCTTGGAATTCTGTAACATGTGGATTAGTCTTCCATGGGCATGTAAAAGAGCTTTTGAGATGTTTCAGCAAATGAGTTTAAACAGAAGTACGGCCGAACCAAATATCTTTTGTTGGTATTCTGTCTGCCTGTGGCCATTTAAGACTGGTGCACCGGGTACATAGACATTACTTTGACATTATGAAGAACAAATACTTCCTTCAACCAAAGTTGAGCATTGTACATGTATTTTTGATTTAGTGGGTAGGTTTTGGACTAATAGAGGGGGCAGTCGATGTTTTGCAACATATGAAAGCAGATGGGCTAGATGTGTTTCTTGCTGGAGATAGAACACATCCTAAGTTATTTTATGTCGCTTGTGTTCTGCTTTTGATGTACATGGAGGTGGAGGCTCAAACTTTTGAACTAAATCTGGTATGCATCTTGGCGTACAAAGTTGAATGGTTCTTCTGATCATTTATTGCCTTTTATAATATTTTTCTTGCGGATCTATTGGAAACAGCCTCTTTACCTTCACTAGATAGGAGTAAAGTCTACGTACATAGTACCTCCCCAGACCCTACCCGTGAGAACATACTAGGTTTGTTGTTGTTGTTGTTGTATAATATTTTTCTTGCAACTCTTTGGGGGATTCCATCTTTTGGGTGGGAAAAGACCCAAATTGGGAATAAAGATGGCACTTTGAAAATCTTGGGACTAGGATTTTTGATATATCCTTCTACAGTGAATTTTGAAAGCGTTTTCGTAACTCGAAGGTAATTGTCTTCAGAAATTTGACAATTTTCTTCAAGTCTATTTTCTTCACGCATCATAGAACAACTTTCAGTCTTTTTCATGGATTTTCTCTAACATTGACATGTTACTGTTCAGGCTGATATCGAGATCTAATTAATGGAATGGGGTATTTGTTTTGAAGAACTAAAGTTTCAGCCCCATGATAAGTTTGTTTGTTTCAATCCATAAGACTAGGATAACCTGTCATCATAAGTTTGTTTCCACCAAAGAAAGACTAATATAGACTATCCAATAGGACAGAAAATTAGCATAAGTAGTTTAATTAATCCTTTACGAAAACAGTCTGATTTGCTTCACTTGAAATTCCAGACTACTTTTGAGATGAATTAAGTACAATAATCATATACAAAGTAGAGTTTCAATAAATAATCTAATTAGTCTTATACATAAGTAACACCTCATAATCTTCATTTAACTTGGTGATCTAGACTAACTTGGGGAACCAATTATTATAGACCATAAAATGAAGTAGCTGCTTAACTTGAAGAAGCTTACATCAATTAGAAGAGCTTGTAATTTGGTAATATGAATAATGAACTTGATCATAACATAAAATATCAAATGTACAAAAAAAAAAAAAAAATCAATGCAAGTGAGCTTTTGGAACTCTCAATTTGTTCAAAGTGTTATATTCAACTCTGCTTTCTTAATACATCAATTATTGTACAAGTGTTGTAGTCTCAAAAAATAAAGACGATCCAACTAATTAATGTTTATTTCTTCCTTCTAGCTAGCTAGGAGTCTAATACATGAGCAGTTGGCATCTCATAGCGGCAAATAGGGCAACGATGACTCTTCTCCAACCAGGTCGTAATGCATTCTCCATGAAACATGTGTGAGCAAGGCATGCACAAAATCTTCCTGTCCTTCCCAAGCTCTTCAAAACAGATGACACAGTCATCATTTATACGTTCATCTTCATCAATCTCCATTCATGATGGATGACTTACGAGCAGGTAGCATCCCGTTGAAGCGCGGTGACAATCCTTCCAACAAACTCCTCTCATCAGAATAATGGTCAATGACTAAAGTTAAAGAAACGAACACCTTCAAGATTCTGCGACCTTTATTAGACTCATCATCAACAATTTCGCGTACTTTGCCTATCATATCACGAATGACAACGTGGCGATAATTCCGATCAAACTCCTCACCCCAGTTGTTGAGATTTGATTGCATGGCACTGTAGAACATGTCATATGACATGTATACAGAAGGGGGCAGTGTGAGATCACGAAGTGATTTAATATGGCGTCGCTGTCCTTGGAATAGTCCAGGTTCATGGGGTGCTGGTCTATACCAAAATTGTTCATCAGTATTAAGGTGAAATTGAATGGCTAAAGAAGAAGGAGAAATAGTAGTATTATTACTCCTATCGTTATTGATTGGTGATAGTTGATGCCGAATTAGGAGGCCTCCAATCGAGCAGGGATGGCGGTATTCGATTTCAGACTCCATATTCGAAAGATTAATTTGAGATGGGAAACCTAGCAAGTGGTCGATCACTTCTCAACCTAGATACTCTCTCTCTATATATATAAACTAGAAGCTAATCCTACACCAACTCAGCTTAGGATTCCATTCTTTGCTTAATTGTGCCCCAAGTACCACCAACAAAATTCTGTCCCAAGTAACACCCAAAAATTGTGCGTCAAGTTAATTGGAATCCCTTTTTCCCTTAATTGGAACAAGGATTAGTTGAATAAATAAATTAACTTTATTTTTTTTTTTAAAATAAGGAATTTTACTTGAGCAAGTTACGATGACGATATATATAGGGAAACTACCGGCTATGTCCATTTATAAGTAGCTTATTACAAAAATTGGTCATTCATTAAATATTAGCCAACTGTTACCAATATTAGCTAATTAGCTATTTGTAGCAAAAAAAAAAAAAAAGAAGTCAAATCTTTGCTTTCTTTTGAGTGGATGTTATTAGAATAGATTGGGCACTTCTTAAATTTGAATCTCAGGTTTGGGATGATTTGGCGGAGCTTTGATGTGGTTTAAATTGAAAACTCGAAGTAGAAGATGAAACATAGAAAAAAAATGATATGTGTAGCACTCTGTGTATCATTAGTGTATCACATATTTATTTAATATACACAATTAGGTATTGTGAAGAGCCTAATAAGGTCTTTCACGGGAAAGGAAAACGTCAAAAAATAAGAAAATAAGTTAAGCCGGATTTCTCGTGACTATCCAAGAATTTCAATGTTTGAATCGAGGTTTATAACGATAAAGCTTATCTAATTTTATTTATTTTAGAAATTTTTTCTCGAATAAATCATGAATTTTCAAGGATATATATCATATTTGCATCAATTGTGTATCCAGTAATACTTGTGTGTGTGTGTGTGATACATGCGTGATACATGTTTGATATACGTGTCGAAGAAGAATTTTTTGAACTCGATTTTAACTGTGAATTTTGATACCAAATCAGTCCAAGTCACCTCAAATCTTCCTCAACTTTGTATATTGACTCATCTATATATTTTCAATGAATTTCAACTATACCCATTGAAAAAGGTTCTTTTTTGCTTAGATTTTGGAATCTTGTATATATATATATATATATATATATATATATATATATATATATATATATATATACACACAATTAATTGATCGTGTCGCTATTGTTCGTATAAAACTAGAAACAAGGGAATCATTTCGAGCAAATTATCATTGTTGGCCGCTCGGGCCAAACTTTTAACGGCCACTAGCCAGAAATTAATTAATTACAATAGACATATAACGCAGAGGTTTGTGAGTGAGTACCTGTTTGGAATTAACAGCCAACTGATCAGGAAAATCATTGCGCCGGCGGCGGCGAGAGATAGTGGATCCAATACGTCTAGACATGGACCCACCATCAAATCTTTGAGATAACTGATGCTGATTGCCATTGATAAAGCTTGCCTATGAAGCAACTCCTCTTCCAGTAGTGACCTCCTCTTTGATCTCTCATTTCTCTTACTCCTTGACCTTATTTCATTTTTGCCTGTTTCTTTCCTTATTCCATTTTTGCCTGTTTCTTTTACATCCTTCATTGTCATGCAAATAAATCTATTACCCATTTCTCAAAATTCAATCTTGCACAATACCCAGAATTTCTTTTTGTCTAATTACCAGAAATCTGCAAAGCAGCTTGAAATTCAGTAATTTGCACAAGACCCATATACTATTTTGCCCAAAGATACTATTTTAGCTAGAAATTAATTAATAACGTAAATGTACATTCAAATAAATACTATATAATAGATATAAATTGTCAATAACAACCATCATCGTAATTTTTATCACAATATTAAATTCTAGAAAATCTATCATATATACATTTTACTACATCATTACGTAGTAAAATACACGATACACTTTATATATACAAAATTTATACATTGTAGAACAGTCTATACTCTTTGGATACACAAAAGCACTCGGGATACACTAATGATATATTATGGATACATTGCAAGATGCACGATACACTCTATATTCAAATTTTATGCAATGTATATACTAAATAGACTGTTACTATACAAAAAATATATTAAAATAGACTGTCACTATATAAAATATATACAAAATAGACTGTCACTATAAAAATATACTAAATAGACTGTCACTATACAATTTATATACACTAGACTGTCATTATACAAAATAGACTGTCACTATACTAAGTACATACTAAATAGACTGTCACTATATAAAAAATATACAAAATAGACATTTCGGGCTATTAGATATAATATGTTTGGGCCGAAGGGCCATTTCGTGTAAGTGAAAAAAAACATGGGCTACTAAAATTTTGAGGGGCTATAGAGGGTAGTTTTCCCAATCATTTCCGCTAGAACCACATAAATAATAGATTGATCCAAACAAGAGATATGTACTTTTGAAGCAATTCATTAAGATATTGATCATGTCAAGACATTTTTATGGTTATAAAAATATGACATTAAGGTAAAACAAAAGATTTAAAACTGTAGTGTTTTCCAATTATAGAAAGTTTGACATTATGTTTTGAATAGAGCAGCAAAACGAAATAATAACATATAAAATGGCACAAATTAAAGGGACTACATAATTAAAATTTACAA